CAAGGAGCAAAAAGGGCAGGTGCTCAAGCTTAGTACTTAGTAGACTTAAAATATATTTACACAAATATAAGTATATTTGAAATATAGTACTTTTTTTGTCACTAGAGATGACATGTTAACAATGGATTAAGCAGTTGTAAAGGCTGAACAAAGTGTGGGAAACAGAGGGCACAGATAAGAGAAGTGCGGGAGCCCCTACTGTATCAAATCAAGATAGGAATAACAGAAAGTTGGTCACTGAGGTAAAAATGAAAGAAATAGCTTTTGGTCAAGGGGGACATGGCTGACCTAGCAATCACCCCAACTGCCTACCTGTGTTGCCAGGTGTGTTTTTATCTATGAACAAAGTGCTATAATACCTGCTGCCAGTGAGACACAGCACTGCTCCTTTTCCCCAGTGATGGGACTGATGCAGTATGGGACATCCGGCACTTTTGTTGAAATGGGAGGCAGAGCTGGAAAACGTCCAACTCCACACATCTGAACTGAGCCGAGAGCCAGGTGACGGACAAACGTGGAACCTCGCTCAATGAAGCTGTTTAAATATAACATGTTCACTTAAAGTATCACTTTGTAGCTTAAGATTCTGTCATTTATCAACAGGCCTATCCATAGAAACGTTAAAACACTATAATAGGGGTCCTCAAAATCAAGCCTTGAGGGCTGCTGTCCTGCAACTTTTAAATGTGTTCCTGGTTCAACACGCTTCAACCAAATGGCTGAATTACATCCTCAGTGCAGTCAAGTTCTTCAGAGTCTCGCTAATGACCTCATTATTTGGGTGTGTTGAAGTAGAGACTCATCTAAAACATGTAGGACACTGGCCCTCAAAGACTGAATTCAAGGATTCCTGCAAAATATATAGAACACAAATAGATTTTACCTCGACATGAGTTTGAAAGTGGCATCCAGAGCTGTGGCATAGGTTGACGCCAAGATGGCGTCAAAGTAACAAGGGATGAGGTATCGAGGAAAGTGCCTCAGGTAGTCAAACATGGCACCCAACCACTGACCCACCTGCAGAAACAATGATGCAAAGGGTAACCTGCTACAGAGGTCTTTAGGTGCTTATACTTTATTGATAACGTTCAGTAAAGCTACATACTATTACATCTCAACAAATTTGAAAATTGCATAAAAGTGCAGTATCTACTGACAGTCATCTCAGAAAGTGAAACGGTAATTTAATAAAAAATACATTACACATAGAACCAAATAGTTCAAGTTTTTAGTTTTTGTGGTTTTAATAATTCTGCAGTGTTTGAGAAAATTAGAGTATCACATTAGACCAGGGGTGGGCAACTCCAGGCCTCGAGGGCCGTTCTCCTGCAACTTTTGATGAGTCTCTACTTCAACACACCTGAGTCAAATAATGAGGTAATTAGCAGAACTCTGGAGAACTTGACTGCATTTAGAAGGTGATTCAACTATCTGATTCAAGTGTGTTGGACCAGGGAGACATCTAAGAGATGCAGGACACCGGCCCTCGAGGACCAGGATTGCCCACCCATGCATTAGACCAATCAAAAGCAGATGTTTAAAACACAAACATCAGGAAAAGTTTGAACATTTCTTTGCACTCAATACTTGGTTGGGCCTCCCTTTACAAGAATTACTGCATCAATGCACTGCGGCATAGAGGCAATAAGCTTGTGGCACTGCATACTATGTGACTATGGGAGCTCAGATTGCTTTTATAACTGCTTTCAGGTCATCTGCCTGGTCGAGTCTGAAGTCTCTAATTTACCTCTCAACAACAATTTAATTCAGTTTATTTATAAAGTGCCAATTCACAACAGATGTTGACCCAAGGCATTTACAAAAAAAAATATTTAAATTCAATCATATTTACATTCCAATCAATTCTAGTTATCAAACAGTAAGCCCAAATAATTTTTCAGAGCAGTTAAAAAAGTTCCTTTCTAAGGAAAGAAACTTTCCTTAGGAGTGAGTTACTTTCAGCATTCACTCCTGCTGCATGAACACATAGTGACAATCACTTGCATTGTGTCACTGACTTTACAACAATCTTAAAAGTAGAAAGAGAGTTGGCCATTCTAAGGTAAAAACCCAGCGCGTACAGTGTTCATGTTTTGTTTTTTTTTTCATCCAGACGGCTTCCCGCGCCCCTCCTGCAATGACACGGGGCCCCCCCTAGGGGGCGCGCCCCATAGTTTGGGAACCTCTGCCTTAAAGGCTGAGGGTGAAGTGCAGAAAATCTGTTTTTTAGTGGGATTCCCACAGAGTCAGAATGTTTTGAGGCTTGGTCTGGTCACTTTGTCCTTGGGAGCGGGGTCGGTGGAGCCGTTTTGGTTCCAGCTGCTTGTTTATTTTTCTTTGGCGAAGCAGGTGTTGAAGTTGAAGGTGGGTTTCGGCTCAGAGTCAGCAACGCCGATTCATCCAGGTGAGGTGTTCTCCCTGTTAGTCATCTCATGGGATCCGCAGTGTGAGACTTTTGTTTCGGCTTGGCACCCTGAGTGTTATAGGGTGAGCTGCTTGCTGCGGGGCATACGACTTCTCCGTTGATTTGAGGAAGAGTT